TGGCACAATTCAAAATGTATTTTTAAACATTTTTAAACATTTGACCTATGTAGTGAATACCTTAATATCTGAAAGTCTAAATATTGTACTTGTGCATATATCATACATATATATGCCATTTAGTTGTAACATAAAGGATTGTATAGATCTGTGCATGCTGAGTTTTGTATCACTGCAAACTTGTATATCCATTTAAATATGTACCCAATGAATAACTAGCCTGAGCCCCACTGAAGGCATAAAATTGAATAATTTTATTTATCTATTTAGATCATTTCGCTCACAATTTATGACACTGGGTGAACTACACCAGTAAAAGTAAAACACAGTAAAAGTCAAAAAATAAATACAATACAAAACACAATCAATTTAGAGAAAACTGGGTTTTATAAAACACTTTCAGAGCAGAATGGTTCATCTACTACCTCAATATAATAATAGTTATAATATCACCTTATTTATGCACTCAGATTGGCAACTAATAATATATGCCTTTGAATATTAAAACCAATATGAATGTTAATGTATGACCTATAGCCTGATAAGGCAGATGTCATTTCCTTAAACAGTTCTTTTAAAAGCAAAGGGAGCTGGAATGAATAAAACTTTAAGGAAAGACATGTCACCATCCAAAAGTCATATAGAGAAGGCCTTTACTCATATGCTACATAAATAAGCTCTTGATTGTAAGATCATTTTCAGAAAAAACTATCTAAACATGTTGATGAAGATTTTCAGTTATCCAGGTAGAGTTGTCTGCTGAGTTAACTTTCAGACCTATCAACTCAACTTCCAGACCTCTCTAAAGATCTTAATGCCCATCAATTAAGTTCTTCATAAGACAGGAAGTGCCTTGGATGGCTATGTATGGCTTTAAAGGCAAACGTGAACATGAAGCTCTAAAGCACAGGTGTCAAACTTGCGATGTCATGTGACGTGTTGCGATGTATTGCAACTTTTTCCCATTGCCGGCAATGGGGTGGGCGCAGTTTTGGTGTGACGCATCCAGCCCATGAGCTGACAGTTTGACACCCCTGGTCTAAAGAAAGCCACTTCTGGGTTTCCAGTTTTGCGCAGTTAGCATGACAGCTGAGGGATCACAGGGCTCTGTACCTTACGACCAATTCCTGCATGTTAGGGGACGCTAAATGGGCATCGCCCATTTAGCCCCGCCAACTGTGGAAAGTCAGCAGTCAATCCGGTCATTCAGAGAAAGCCCTCCAGAAACCAGGAGGAGAAAGGCTAGCTTAACTCCAGAGCTACAAGCAGCCCAAGCTACAAGCAGCCAAAGTCCAAAAGCACTATTTTAAGCTGATTGTACACAACACGCTTGATACTGGGTAAGAACACTGATTTTATCTCTTCTACTTGATAATTGATTTCCTGGGGGGGGGGAACCCGAGAAGCAAAAAGCCTCCAAAAGTGAGAAAGAGGGGGATCTTTGCCCTACCCATCTACAGATGGAAGCGGCAAAGTAAACTTTTTATGGAAGACAGAAATATACTGAAATGAAATGAATATAAGACCTAAATCTGGATAAGTTTGAAGTTGGTGCAATTTGTTAAGATTTTCTTTTTAAATCATGAAAACAGAAGACAGCAATTATTTATTTTGAAAAACGAATTGGTGCTGACATCTAGTGGTGGATGAAAATATACAATAGTAGTTGCTCCAATACAGGAACTGGCAAAGCCCAGGAAAACATAACTTGCCTTTGTGACCTTCAATGCTTTAATAACAGAGAACAGCTGTGACAAAAAAAGGAAAACATTTTGGGCTACCTACAAAGCAAGAATTATAAACTTTAGAAAAAAATATTGACCTGTCTGGATTATAAATACCTACTCAACTGTGAGTCTAAAGCTGTTTGCAGAGAAAGGAAAAGTCTGATTTTTGGCTATCATGGAAAACCAGAGATCTGCAGAAAGAATATACCAAGAAAAAACAAACACTTTCCAGGGGGAGATGTTTGCTATGTTGCAACTAATTCAAACAACAATGATCTCAAACCATGAGGAAATTAAAAATAACTTTGAAAATATAAATGAATACATTTCCACTTTAACTTTACAACAAAAAAACTCTCAGAATATAAAAATAGAGAGTGAGCAGATAAAATAGACAACTGAACATAAACCAGAGGAAAAAGATTTAAAGATGGAACCTAACAATAGAAGGAAGTATGATTTAACCCAGGTGGAAAAAAACTTGCAGGAAATATTGGATATGGAAAAGATAACTTATACTCTAAGATCATAAAATAAGTCTGAGGACAAGAAAAAAATTTGACAAAATTGATTACAGAGATGTCAGGAGAACTATGAGAACTTGAGAGACAAATAATAATAAAAGAAATTAAGAGAGAAAGAAAGGAAAAGATTTTCAATGAATACGAAGGGGCAAAACCTTCCCATAAAAACATCTTACTTGATTTGCCTTTTGTACCTACAACATCTACAACAACATCTATGGGAAGACTCTTTGATTCAGCAGAGCATATTGATCAGGAAAGATGTTTGGCAAAAAAAAAACAACGCTAAAGGGAGAATTAAGAAATTAGATGATGGGATTTGTCAGAAGGAATATTTAAAAATTAAATATCTGTTTGAATATGGTTAAAGAAATAGAAAGATTTTGGATATAAATGAATTTTAGTTTAAGAAGGATGAGCCACTCAAGTAATATAGTATTTTTTCTTTCTTCTCTCTTTTTTGTTATGTTTTTTGACATGAGAAATATAAAAATGTTGGGATGGTTTATATAAAGGAAATGTTTTAGATACTTAAGTGTAATTGATCTTGAGAAAACTTCAATAGATAAAAATGTTTTGAATAGATCTAAAAGATTAGATAATTGGATTTATTAAATGGAATATTTAAAGATTAAATATATGTTTGAATATGGTTAAAAAGAAGAAAAAAATTATGGATATAAATGTATATTAGCCTAAGAGAGACGTGTATTTTAAGTAGTATTTGTTGTCGTTAGTTGCAAATTCATGTCCGACCCATCGCGACCCCATGGACAACATTCCTCCAGGTTTTCCTGTCCTCTACCATCTTCTTGAGTCCATTTAAGCTCACGCCTACTGCTTCAGTGATTCCATCCAACCACCTCATTCTCTGTCGTCCCCTTCTTCTATTGCCCTCAATCTTTCCCAGCATCAGGCACTTCTCCCGTGAGTCCTTCCTTCTCATTAGGTGGCCATAGTATTTGAGTTTCAACTTCAGGATCTGGCCTTCTAAAGAGCAGTTGGGGTTGATCTCTTCTAGGACTGACTGGTTTGAATGCCTTGCAGTCCAAGGGACTTGCAGGAGTCTTCTCCAGCACCATAGTTCAAAGGCCTCAATTCTTTGGCGCTCAGCCTTTCTTATGGTCCAACTTTCACAGCCATACATTGCAACTGGGAAAACCATGGCCTTGATTATACTCACTTTTGTTGGCAGGGTGATGTCTCTGCTTTTTAGTATGCTGTCTAAATTTGCCATAGCTTTCTTCCCCAGGAGCAAGCGTCTTTTAATTTCTTGGCTGCAGTCCCCATTTGCGGTGATCTTGGAGCCCAGGAAAATAAAATCTGTTACTACCTCCATTTCTTCCCCATCTATTTGCCAGGAATTGAGAGGGCTGGATGCCATGATCTTAGTTTTCTTAATGTTGAGTTTCAAGCCAACTTTTGCACTCTCCTTCTTCACCCGCATCAAGAGGCTCTTTAGTTCCTCTTCACTTTCTGCCATTAGAGTGGTATCATCTGCATATCTT